AAATTTTGAAGTCGGGATAATTTCCGGAAAATTTCCGGAAATTTTGGAAATTTTGGAAATTTTCAAATACTTGTTAAAAAAAAAGATTTCAGGGCTTTTCTGATTATTTTTATATGTTTACCATAATTTTACTGTTTTAATAAAGAAGGTTTATATAAATAAACTAATAAATTTCAGAAATAAATACCTAGGTATTCACTAATAATATTAGTAAATAGTTCTAAAGTAAATCTAATGGTAACAATGGTAAAAATAATAATTACAACAACAACAATTATTATAACAATGGTGATGATGATGATGATGATGATGATGATGATGATGATGATGATGATTATAAAAATATGATTATAAATTAAAATACTAACAGCTTTTTTAAATAAAATAGATAAGTAAATAACTTATTTACTTATTTATTTTATACAATATTATGAATTGGTAAAAGTGCAATATTATTAATTTTTTGGTGTATAACTTTATAGTATTTTAAGTAGTATTAAAACTTTATAATATTATAGATGCATAACTTTATAGTATCTGAAATGATTGCTACACAAACATTCCTTTTTGACATTTTTTAATGATTTATATAAAGCTGTCAACCTAAACCAAAGAATAGGTGATACAAGAGAAACAACAAATAACTTGCCATTATATATGTTATATAATTAAATAAGTTTTTTACTCTTTTTGAAATAATAACAATAAAAATATTACAAAAATACTTTATAGGTATATTAGTACTATAGCTATAATGATAATAATAAATTAGTGTTGAATATAAATTATTTATTAGACTTGCAGTCGGTATGAACTGCTTTTCTAAACTAAGTATACATTTTAAATTATTCTCATTTATTTTTGTACTGTAAAAATTTTTTTAGCAACAATTATGCCTAGAGAATTAGATCTGGAATGTCACTTTAAAAAAAAAAAATGTCAATATGGGAAAACAGCATTTATTTGCACATATTGCAATGCAAAATTTTGCACACAAAACTCTACACGAGCTAAAAAATATTTAGTTACAGATTGTACTAAATCTCCAAAAGCTGTAAAAAAAAAGTTTGCAACAGATGTTATGAAACAAAGTTTTGCTCCTAAAACAAAAAACGGAATATTATTAGTTAAATCTTTAATTGAACTCAACACAAATACAACAAATAATGCAGGTGTGTCAGATTTAATAATAGAAAATGATTGTTTTATTGATTGCTGTGACAACAATTATGCCATCTTTAAGAGAAAGTCAGGAACCAGTTCCACAATGAATGTGGCTAATAACGAATTACATTCTGATTTACAAGAATGTTCTTTATCAAATATTTTAGAAGAAAAAAAGGCTTTCTGTTCAACTTCTATATATACTAGCAATCAAAAATCAATATCATTTTTTTGATAAAGTTTCAACACAAGAATGTGATGAAATAAATATAGAATATGCAAGAGCAATTTATGCAACAGCCAGCCTTTTCAGAATGTCGGAAAATCCATTCTGGAGTAATTTTTTTAAAAAGATTCGACCAGGTTGGTCACCTCCCAATCGTTATGCCCTGAGTCATAATCTTTTAGACACAGTATATAACCAAGTAAATAAATTCATACAAGATTTAATATCCCAGTCAGAAACTTTTGTTCTGATGACAGATGGTTGGTCTTGTATAAGTAATGATTCACATATACAGATTATTTTAGCTACTCCAACTCCAATATACATCAGAAGTATTCATCCAAAAGAAAACTCCCACACTGGACAATACATATTCAATCAAATTGTTGAGATTATTGAAGATAAATATGTTATATCAAACAAAAGAAAAATAAAAGCTTTTTGCACTGACAATGCAGCTAACATGGTAGCAGTTTGGAAATTAATAGAAAATAAATATGATTGGATGTCAGCATATGGCTGTTTTTCTCATGGCCTAAATTTATTAGTTTGTGATCTTGCAAATAAGAACAAAATAATTTCGGAAACACTGAAGCAAAATAAACAACTAGTTAAGTTTTTTAAAAGCACAGTCTAAAAAGTATTGTTGAGCGTTGTAGCCTACACTCCTTGAATAAAAGTTTTATTTTAATTCTTCCTGTAGTAACAAGATGGTCATCACAATTTTATGTTACAACGCAATATTCTACTCCGTGATTCATTGCGACTGGCAGTAACTGATAAAAAAGCACAAAAGTATCTTGACAAACATAATAATAAAAAAGGAATTGACTTAAAGGAATTAGTATTGAATGAAACCTTTTGGAAAAAGACGGATTTAATTTTCAAACTTCTGAAACCTATATCAGAAGCCATTTTGGAATCAGAGAGTGATGCAGCGTCAGTATCTATTGTTCCACAAGTCTTTTTTTATGTAATAACTGAGATATCTGATGTGTTGCAAAACTCAACACTTTTGACTTTACATCAAAAAGAGGATATCATTACTTGCATTAAAAAGCGTGAAGACTTTGTTGTAATACCGATACACTTCGCAGCAAATTTACTTGATCCAAGATTTGTTGGTCAAAAGTTAAATCATTCAGAAATGCTTTTAGCTGAGCAGCATGTATTCAGAACAGCTGAAAATGAAACACTAGCCACTGATATAATATTGGATGAATTAATGAGTTTCAAAGCTCGTAGTGGAATATTTAGCCAGGATAATCGCAGCTATATTTGGAAGCTTAATGAAGATTGTAATCCAGTCACATGGTGGAAAGCATATGCACCAACAACATTATTGAATAGAATTGCATTAATATTATTGTCTTGTAACTGCAGCATTGCATCTGTTGAGCGTGCAAACAAAGAGTTTTCATTGCAAAAATCTAAAGTAAGAAATCGCCTAACCGATACAAGAGCATCAAAGCTTTTATTTATTGCTTATAATTTGAAAATGCAGAATAATTTGGCTAAACGTAATTCTAAAAAGATAAAACATTCATATTTAAAAACAAAAAACATTGATGAAAAAAGCCAAAAAAATCACAGCTGCTTATCAATCAATAATGATGATGATGATGATTATGATGATAACGAATACGATAGTGGGTATTCGAGTGAAGATAGTATTGACTTTCACATACCATGAAAATGGCTAAGCATTAACGTTTGCAAAAACATGCTATTTTTTTATAATAGTCTAGTTGGGGAGTTTAAATAAAATATATATATAAAATTATTTTTTTATTTTTATTTATTAGTTAAAAACCAACTATACAAGTAAGCTAAATTAAAGTTTAGTTCAGGATAAATGAAAAATCTTTTTGATTGAAAAAGTTTTTTTTTTTTTTTTTATCAAGATTTTTTTATCTAGGAATTTTTTTTTTCAAGAATGTCCTTGAAGATTGTTTTTTTGTTCCTTTGAGTTCCAGAACTCAACTGCTCATTTTAGAGTTTGAAGATCTGTTTCAGGAATTACATCTATTAAGTCAATGATTTTTTTTTTACTTTGCATTATTTTCTCTAGATTTAGTTCATGACTATTGCACAAACCTTTGACACTACCTAAAAAAGGTTCTGAAGCTGTTTTGTTTTTCAGCTGCTACTTTACAATATTAAATGTCATTTTATTGCTCTTCAGGTGAATAAATAAGTTTAGCTTGTTTTGTTGTGTAATTATTGATACATACTCAATAAAAAATAAGGGATGAATAAAATTTATGCAATGTTTTAAAACGTTAAGGAGTGACTTCAGTGCGTTTCTTCCAACTATATCAAGCTTTTGCATTAATATTTTTTTATGTTCACAAAGCTTAGACCATAAGGTAGTGGAATAACCAAAGTTTTATATAACTGGACAAAGGAATTTGGGTGAACAAAACGGATTCCAGATTGAATTAAAGTTTGGATTACTGCCCGGATTTTAGGAAAGGTGTCCCATATAAAGCCTAGATGAATTAATTTATCGTGAAGTTTTATCTGTTCGATATTGTGCGGTTTATAATTTGCTTTTTTCCGGTAAGTATGAACTCTGTTTTGTCAGCATTCAATTTTATGCAGTTTTTGTGTATATATTACAGGTATTAATAAGCTTTTGTAAAAAAATTCCTATTAAATACTTAAAGAAAGATGTATATATATAAAAAAAGATGTTGTGCCTATAGAGGTAGCATGTTTTTAATAAATTTCTTTTTTTATTAGATTTTAAACGACTTAGAAATTTTAAATAAACTTAAAATTTAAATTTTCTCCGAAACGTCTTGTGGTTTTTAGTTTTTATATATTTAAGCAAAAAAAAAAATGACAGTTATCTCATTTTTAAGAGATTTGATGCTTAATTCTTTGCAATTTCTTTAATACATAGTAATAAATTAAAAATTAAAAAAAAAAAATTTCCGGAAATTTTAAGCAAATTTTCCCGGAAATTTTCCGGAAAATTTCCAGAAAATTTCCGGAAATTTTCTGGAAATTTCAACCCTACATAAAACCATTGCATAAAACAAATCATTTAACAATGCTTTTCGCACCTTAAATACTTAATCATTCGTCAAAAAATAAACATTACGTCACCTAACTTTGCGCTATGGCATGTTTCTACCCAACCAAAAGAACTTTAACTCAAAATGTGCAATAAACTGGGGGCCATTGTAAAATAAAGCTGTTAAATGCATTTTATTAACCGTTATTTATAAGTTTCTTTGAACATATAAATGCAAATTTATCAATTTTTTAGTAAAATTAAGTTTATACTTACTTAGCAATAAATTGTCGAATCTTTTTTTAACATTCATTATTTGATGTTAAATTTTTATTTGATGATTAAATTTATTTGATGATTAAATTTTTACAAATTTGCTAAATTAAAATTATATGTTGTGAAAGATAATCTTATAAGATTATATACAACATTAAATTTTAATTTAGCAAATTTGTAAAAATGTATTTACTTTATTAAAGTCTTACATTTTTACAAGTCATCTTCTTAAATTTGATAACTTCCGAACCCAAGTGATAATTTAAAAGTATACGAATCATGTCATAGACTTTATATTTATGAATTTTTTTTTTGTTTAATTTACAGAAAACCAATATGAAAATTAATCGTTACATGTTAATAAACTTGGTTTTTAGTTTTTGCTGTGTAACTAACTATAATGGAGAAAAAGTTTATTTAGTAGATAATTATAGTAAAAGTGGATCTAGCAATTGGGCCAATATACCAAAGTATTTAAAATATAATTGCGTAGATAAATGGAGTCTCGATTATTTTGAGTATTGTTTTGTAGGCAATTTATTATATCCTGAGAACTATTGCGTTTTGGAATCTTCTATTCAAAATCTAAGTAATGTCAGCAATGTTTTCATTAATATCACTATAAAAACAAAAACATGCCAATATCGAAAAATTAAAGAACCCAACTGCTACAATTTTCTTAATTTGTCAATAAGTAATGGAGAAAATGAAATTATGCAAGTTAGTTTACCGGGTATTACTGTTCCAGTAGAAAACCAAGATCAGTATTGGTTAAGCAATGATTTAATTGTTTCTGATGTTATAAACAAAAGTACAATCCAATTAAAGTTTATTTCTCATAATTATTGTGGATATCTTCTTAATGTGTCTGTTTTTTATTATAAGTGTCCAAATAAAACAATTCAATTGGTTAATTTTCCAAATAGTCCAGCTCCAAGTTTAAACAACTCTCCATTTAAAATAAAAGGTGTTTGTTCTAAAAATGCTGTTACTTATGGGACTATAAACCCTTACATGAATTGTTACTCTAATGGCAGTTATATTTTGTTTGGCGAATGTTGGTGCAAAGAAGGCTATGAAAAAAATGACCTTGATTGTGAAGGTTTGTATTATATTAATAATGTAAAGAAACTTTAAATTACCTTAAATATTTTTATAAAAACTATTCAAACTGGATCTCATTTTAAAATCTGCTTATCTAAATATCTTTGCAAGTTGCAACTCTCAACCAAGTTGGTTGAGATTTTTATATAAATAATTAAATTGAAGCATAGTGTATATTTAAGTTATAGAATGTCAGTGTAAATTATGACTACCAAAAGATTTAAGTTGTAGAAATATAGTAAATACTTTTAAACAAAACAAAATAATAGTTAAAAATGATAAGCAGTTATGATCCAGGTCATTTATTTTTTTCACTTCACTTTAATATCTCCTGTTTTTACCCTTCCAGTTGTCATGGTTGTTATTATATCATTTTTTACATGAATAATGTTGATCAGTAATATAATCATATTTTAATGATTTAGCATGCAAAGATGGATATTTTAAGAATAAAGTTGGAAACAATATATGTGAAAAGTGTGGTTTAAATTCAAAATCTGTACTGGGTACTTCATGCATATGTAATGAAGGATTTTACAGATTTCAGGGAAACGAAAATAATAGTGCAGCAATATGCTACAGTAAATTTATTTCATTTACCATAAAATAAAAACATATTTTGTTAAAGTTTTCATTAGGCTTTTTATTTTATTTATTTATTATTTTTATGGTATATATTTTTCACTAAACAATTTTTTTTCAGAAGCACCATCTCGAGTACAAAATGTAACAGTACATAATATTACAGTACAATCAGCTACACTGTCATGGATGATTCCAACAGACCATTTTGTTGACTATTTCTATATAAATTGCACAAACTGTCCTTCACAAAATTTTACACTAAGACATACGTTACAAACTTGCATTTTTATTGATGGGTTAGATTCATATACAAAATACAATGTTGTAATAGAAAGCAGAAATAATGTATCAGCATTGATTGGAAAAGTTATTAGCACTTATGTTCAATTCAAAACTAAGATAAAAGGTTTCTTTTACAAATTAGTTTTTTTTTCAATTAATATAAATAAGGTTTTTATTTAAAAGAATTATTTTATTTTTTAAAGCCAATATATAAATATTTAAAGTTAACCATTTGGTTTACTTAATGTTTGTAGCTGACCTAATGGTAAAAATGTTTTAAAATGTTGTTGAAATAAAGTCGTATATACATATGGGTTATTATATGAAATCACCTAGTTTTTTTTTCAAAAAACTAGGTGATTTCATATAATAACCCATATGTATATACAACTTTTTACTGTGGAAGTTCTATATTTAGACAATTATAAAAAAAATTTTTAGACCTATATTCAAGCGCTCACCCTATGTACCATTCATTATATAACATTTATTAACCGGGTTTAAAATTTAAAGGGTCTTTTTGTACCCAGTTGACTTTATTCAACAAATGGGTACAAAAAATCATAAACAGGATTGCTACATATTCTCTGTAAAAAATATTTCTTTCTACTTGGTACAAAACTGTTTGGGACTGTGCTCATATCTTCTTATATGATTTGTGGAAGTTAATATAAGTTTTATGGTTATTGATCACTTGATAAAAAGTGCTAACACCTTCTAACATTTATGTAAACATTTTGTGTGTGAGAATCTGATTTGTTACTGCTTCTTGTAGACTCGCTTTTGCTGTTTCAATTTTTGTAGTTCCTTATATTCCACTATGTAGATTTTTGTCATGGAACATAGTAAAGAATGCTCAGCATTTATATTGTGATTTTTAAAGTGGTACATTAAGTTTAATAAATATTTGTAATTATTGTACTGTGGCGCAGCATAATCATTGAAGTATTACATTTTATTAACATAGGAAGTAACTTTGTGAGAAAATAATAAACTAATGTTTCTTCAAGGCAAACATGATCAGAAGTTATACAATAGAATACTTGTTTGAGTTCATCTTTTTGATTGTTGCAATAGACAGCAAATGGATGTAAGGTAGCTTGAACATGATGTAAGGTTGCCAGTAATACCTTTGTACAGCATCCTGCACAAGAAAATAGGACAGGTGTGTTGTTTTAATGTGATTTTTGCTTCTGATTAGTAGGATATTAGGCATTTTTGCTTATGACTTATTACATCATTTATACACACAATAACAAAGTCTTTTTTACCTGGACATTGTCTTGTGAACTCTTCAGACCTATAAATTTCAATGACTTTCTGTTTACTGATCTTTCAAAAATTTCCTTTTTGAGCATTGGGTTTTGCAAGTATTCTTTTTTCATTTTTCAACTTTGGGGCTTTAAGAACATCATGTTAAATGGTAATAAATCTGAAAGTTCTGAAATGTTAGTTAGAGTAAGTAAACTTTTTTTTTTTTGCACATTTTCGCTCTTTTTGCAATGCTTTATTTTTTGGGTCTATATCCAATGCTAATGCTACTAGGTTTGTTGTACTTGTACCAATTTTTTTTAACATTTCGTTTCCCACATTTTCTGGAGTATGACTGGGCTGGCTTGAACTCAACTTTATTTAGATAATATTTTCTTTTATAGATAATATGTTGTTGAAATGTAGATATAGGCTTGTATGTTATGTATATGTGGCTATCATGTGTGATTGAGTTTTTCATTTTAGGATTCATATATATATATATATATATATATATATATATATATATATATATATATATATATATATATATATATATATAAATATAAGAGCGACTCTTATAAACTAGCGGCTTTCGACATGTTTTGATGATGTATGTTTTCCTTGTTATTATGTTACGGTCTCAAAATTACATTGTAAGTTCACGAGTTTAAATTAAATTGATAGAACTAAAGATAATAGCTTAAAGATAGTATTTGTAAAAAAGTAAGAAATGTTACAATTAGATCTTATGAAATGAATGAGTAGCTCATGCTTGGCAGATAAACCAGATCCAACCATATTTACAATGCATTTTTATGATTAAAGGTTTATATTTGACGCATAAATATTTGATGTGTAAAAGAGAAAGAGCAACATTAGAAAAACCTGCCAAAATCTAACAAGGATACAGGGATGAATAAGAGATTTGTAGAAAAGAATCAGGAGTAATATGGCAAGCACAATAGAATAGATAAGCAACCTTATTAGATACTAACTTTGCAATGGATTGTATATATAGTTTCCATGAGACATCTGTAGCAAATGATAATCTGAGTAAACATTAAGTGAGATTGCAAATTGTTTGCAATAAATAGTTGAGTTTTGTTGGAGTTGAATTTCACAAGCTACTTCAAACCCTAAGCTGATACAGAAAAGAGATTAGATTCAAGATCAGCTGCCAGTTCTAAACATTCAAAAAGAGAAAAGCTTCTGTCAAAACAGAAGTATAAAGTTGAGTTGTCAGCAAATAGAATTACTTTAGGTGTAAGGTTGTCATCAATAAATAAGATCATTAATGTAAATAAGAAACAATATAAGACCACGGATAGAGTCTTGCGATACCCCAGAAAATTCTGGAAACGAAGAAAAGTGTTGGTTTTTGAGGTTGACTTTGATACTGTAAAAGTCATCAAAAAATTGATTTAATAATCTTAAAAACTTTCTCAGATACACCATATGAAGCTAAACTTGACATACTAAACTTTATTGAAAGCTTTTGATATGTAGAGCATATCAAAAGCCTCCATTTAATGCATGATTGAATCTTTTGATTACAGCAGCTGTAGAATGAGAAAATCAAAATATTTGTTAATTACCAGAGAGTAATTTATTAGACTCAAGAAGAGATATTGGAAATTTATTGATTAAAGACTCAAAGACCTTGTTAATAAAAAATAGTCAGGAACAGGCAGGAAAACAAGATTGAGTTAAACATACACTTAATAAATTGTTCAGAGAGAATTGAAAAAAGTTATTGAGAACACTTTTGTAGGACTATAAAAGGAATGTTATTTTGACCACAAGCCGTAGAAGAGTTTAATCAAGAAGTAGTTTTTTTTTCTGATTTGAATGTCTAACAATAGGTTAACCTGTTTAACTGGAATAGCAGGAAAAGTATGGCCATGAGAATTGAATTAAAAGATAAGTTCTTTGAATGTAGTTTTGCCTTATTCTTGGAGAAGAAAATAAGATCAGACCCATGAATTAAAAATAGAATGTTTGACTTACCTTTGTTAATAAGACTGACGAAGATTTACCAAAAGTCTTTAAAGTATAAATTCTGAGATAAAATACAGGACTTATTACAACAAGAATAATAGAGCTTAGCTCCATTATTCTTATCAGACATCATCTTTTCACATTGATTTCTTGCAATAATAAAAAGTCTTTTGTTCTTAAGAGAGTTGTTTTTGTAAAAAAGATTTTTTTTAACTGATTGCTATTAGATTTTCCTTTTTTTTACAGTTGAAGATTATTGGAACGTTTTCTCCAATCATTTTTGCAATGGTATTTATCAATTTTTACAATTAGAAAGAGTAATCTTAATAAAAAAAAATAAAACACTAACCGAGTTTTATTGGGAAAATGTTAAATCGTAAAGCTTTCTTATGGAAAAGATGGTCAAATACTAAAAATATTACACACAAAAAAAGCATATAACAAATACGCTAGTAAATGTAAAAAATCATTACTTACTTACCAAATGAGAGTCAAACTTAAACTTGTAACGGAAAATAATATCAGCAAATATCTTAATTACATTAATAGAAAATTAAATAACTCTAGAAGTATTTTTGCTCTAAAAGACAAAAACAATAATAACAAGATAACTTGTAGTAACGAAGAAATTGCTGACGTGTTTGACAAACACTTTGGCAGTGTCTCCATTATGGATTTTGTTGATGTACTTTTTAATGAATAATTTATGTTCTAGTGGAAGAATATGGCTAAAAATTGGTACCTGACCATTTTTGAGGGTGCTGAATTCAAAAATATAGAGAAACCGACCCAATTTTTAATTTTTAATGGTCATTTTTTGATTTTAAAATGGTCAGTTGAGTTTTCTGTTTCATCACCGTGGGTTGCGCTTTCACCATCTGTGGGAGTTGCCCAAGTCTCATGGATTTGAGTTTTTGTTCAAATGTAAGTAGAGATCTTGAGCTATTTCAATAAAAAATATGGTTTTGGTCTCTTGAAGCATAATAAAGATATGTCATTTTGAAGTTTAGATAAAAAAATTCCTCATTTGGTCTAGATTCTCTTATATATATTTTTTAACAATACTTTAAGTGTGAGTAATTGTAATGAAGAAATATGAGTAAAAATTAGTACCTGACCATTTTTGAAGGTCAGCACCTTCAAAAATGAAAAGAAAATAACCAAAATCAAAATATTTGATAATCTTTTTTTATTTTAAAATGGTAAGTCAAGTATTTTGTTTCCTTGCCATAAACAGGTTAATGCTTTCACTAAATCTTGAATTGCCTGAATCTCATTGATTTAGTTGTGGTTTAGAAAAATAGTTTTTTGAGGTTGGTTGATATGATGTAGAAATATAGTTTTGCTATTTATACATCAGTTGTGATGTATAAATATAGTTTTTTGGTGCCAGTTATGATGTATAAATATTGTTTTGAAATGCCAGTTATAATGCATAAAATTGTTTTAATTTTAGATTAATTAATTATTGATTCTTATTTGGTTTCTCAGTCATGATAAATAATCAACAGTGCTCTATTGGAATCAATCTAGAAAGTGAATGTCATCTCACAACATATACACCGTTGCTTGGAATCGAATATTTTGAAGATATTCCTGATTATGAAAGAGAAATATTAATGTGGAGGACTGGGCTATCAGTAATCAATGTTAAATCAACAACTTGCCTCCATCATAAACATGTTTATTTGAAGCATTACGCAACTAAACTAACACGTTGCTGCAACCCATTTAATATCCATAACAAAGTTAAAAAAGGTATTTTTAGTAGAGACACCTTTTATTTCTCAAATTTACAATGTGAAAGTGTTGAGAATTACAATAATGAAATTCTTGGCAACCAAGTTCTATTTTATCTATATTTAACCATAC